AGCCAAAGTCTTCAGAAAAATCATATTTTATTGATCATCTTTATTCAAAATTATAAAAATAGATATAAATAAAAATGGCAGAATATAATTATTAAATATTCAGTGTACAGGAGTGGTCTTCACCCCACCCAGTGAGGATTGGATGAACTAGGCTGGAAGGTCAGATAGGATAACTGGCCAAAAAAGGACATCTACATGAAAGTGAAACGGAGACATTTAGTGCTGGGTATGGGTTGTGCCCCGGAACGATACATTCATAGGAGTCAACACGTGTGAGAGCCAAGAGGCCCTGGGAGTTACCCATGACCCCTCTGGACAGACCCACTCTGTGTGGCAGCAGAGTCCCCACAGTTTAGGGAAATGCAGTCAGACACAGGGACGCAGCAGCTCTTACTCACTCACGCTTAGAGCCCGTGTACAAGTGCTCGACCTACACACATACAGCATCTCCTGACACATTCATGGAATGCCAGAGCCCTGCCTTTAATTCATTAGTGTCTCTACTCCCCAAACTACTGTTCCCACATTGGCCAACCCCCCTCAAGAGACCTCAGCTCTGCTACACTTCCTAATTGGGAAATTATTCATTTCCCAACAGTGTGTCTCATGAATGCCCACTGATGAGGGAGCTGCCTCTCTTTCCACCCATGCACAGGAGATGACATTTTTAACGCCAGGAGGTTTTAGTCCAGAAAAAGACAAAACAACTGAGCAACACCATCCTGAGTCAGGACCACCCCTCCATCCTGGCCAGGGGGTTCTGGGCAGCCAGCACCCAGACCTGTATCTGAGGGTAAAGCTATCGTCGCTCACCCTGGCAGGCAGCACATGCAAAAACCATCTCTGCAGAGCCAGTCTTCCTCCCGTGTCTTCCTTCTATCTGGTGGAGATGGCCGACTGCAAAAGTGATGCTGAGCATGGGAGTAGGAGGTGCCTGTTTCCTCCCTCTGCTCCTTGGGGTCCTCAGAGGCTTAGGCCATTCTCCTCTTCCCCGATGTGAGTGTGGATCCAGGGCAGGAATCGTGAGACCCTTGTATAGACACCTGGCTTGTCCTTCAAGGCACAGCCACGGCCCCAGCTCACAATCCCAGTCAGTGTCAGGCGGCCTTCATTGGAGCAGACCAGGGGCCCACCTGAGTCCCCCTGTGAAGAAGCCAAGATGCAAAAGATGAGCTCTGGGAGTAGTGGGGAAGTAGGAAAAGGGCCTTCTGATCCTACCACCCAACCATGCCAAGAGAGATGGGAAGTTTCCCAGAGTCAAAGACTCTAGTGATTCCCCATTTCCTACATTATTAAGTTTAAAACCCTCTGCTTGGTTTTCAAAGTCCGGTTACCTGCCACCATTCCATCCCTGCTCCCAGGTCCTACTTCTCCTCCCCATCCTGGGATATGCCTGCTTATTCTTATTTTGTATCTTTCCCCTGAAGTGCCCGCCGTTCTTCCCTCTGCCTCCTCAAATCCCATTCAAAGCCTCCCTTCCATGCCCATCTAATCTGCACTCACCTCCCTCTCCCAAACATCTGATTATTTATAATTCACACCACACCCTCAATACTTAGTTATGTTGTCTTCTATTATTTTCTCTTTCTACAATCTTATTCCTCACTCCAGTCTGAAGTGCCCAGAACAGAGTGAGACTCATGGAAAAATTTTGGTAAACATCCAAGATTAGTTTAAACTCCCAAAGACCTGAGCTCTAGATTCTGGCTTCCTGGAGCTTTAACTGGCAAGAGGCTCCCCCACAACCCCCACTCACCAAGGCTATCAGGGACAGGACCAGGAGCCCTGGTGAGGTTTATGGGTGATGGATAGAGATGCTTGGAACCCTCACCTGGCAGGAATCTGTTTCCCACTGTGGGTCAGCAGCACACAGCATTTTGTGGGTGACTTCGGAGCCATAGTAGCTGGGCTGCTGACATACCTTGTGGGAAACCAGCTTCACAACAGTCATCTTCAGCTGCTCTGGATAAATATAGTCAGCTAGATGGAGGAAACAGGGAGCAGTTGGGTTAAGATGTGTCTGTCCAGCTTTCCCACTGGGACTCTCTGTCTGGGAGGGGACAAAAAGTGTCTCTACTAGAGAAAGCCCTTATCCATTTTTCCATTCAAATCTAAGCCTTTACCCCACCTATAACCCATCCCACCATCTGTTTACCTTTATGGCCCATAACTCCCAACTCCATCCCTGGGACCCATCTCCATAGTGCTCCCATCTCTCTCTCCATGGTCCTCCCTTGATCAAGCTGTGCTCACTTTCTGGTCACAACATTCCCCCAGGACCCCTTTAGCCAGCCCCAAATATCACTTACTGGGATTCTCTTTTCCGAAGCCAGTGATCTCACAGCTTGCACCAAAACGGGCATCGTCATTCTGCGGGGGCAGGCAGATGGTCTGGATGGTCCGGGATGGCTGCGCACACTGGCCCGTGTTAGAACGAATCTTCAGCAAGGCTGGGGAATGAGGCAGGTACGGGGTCAGAGAGGAAAGATCACCATCTGGTCAGGTGGCCACTATCTTTCCCCTCCAAAAGCGGAGGGAGTGGCTATGTCTAGCCCTAGGTCAGTTAAGGTCAGAAGTCATCCTGGGAGGTCTAACAGTAGATCACCTGGAACAAGCCTCCCTTGCCCCATGCCCCTAGAGCTTCCTCCCAGCTGCTGACCAAGGTTTGGGCAGCCAGGACTGCCGCATACAGTTGTACAGATTGTTTCCTGCAAAAAAGGCCCAGCTGAAGCTGCAGGACTGAAATCCAGCTCAATGTTCTATCACCAAATTCTACATCCTGATACAGAAAGAGGCTACATCCGACAAAGGGGTGTCTTGTTTCTAATTTTCACAAACAGGGCATTCTCAGCCCAAGTCATATGCCTATGGTGGGATGGGAGGCTATATCCACCCAGAGGAGGCTACCCATCTGGGAAATTTAGGGACTCCAGAGAGGAGAACCAGGCCCCTCATATGTTTTACTCTGAGTCTTTCCCCACCATTCTTTTGTTGTGTAAAGCAGGGTCTTCAAGTTTCCCCACAACCTCATCCTCCCACTTGGGTCTCTTCCTGGGCGCCTTCACCCTCAGTCATCATCATGTCAGTTGAGGGTTTTCCACTCACCAATATCGTTGTGGTGAGCAAGCGTCTCGGAACTATAGTCCTCGTGCAAGATCAGCTCTTTCACCTCAAACTTCATCTCCCCAGGCGTATTAGAGTTAAGCCTTGACCGACCCAGGTAGATGATGTAGTCCTCCTTTTTCTGGTAATTACTGTGGGAGGTGGGACATGTCAGACAGCCTGGTCTCATGAGATCTTTTCACATCCCCCTTCCTACCACAGAGACCTCAGAGTGTGACTTGTCCCCAAGGCCATGGGCTGCTGGAGAGGGGCTGAGGGGGGAGAAGTGAAGTAGAATCCTTTGCTGGGAAGGAGAAAGAGGTGTGTTTAGGGTGGGGCAGGAGGGTCAGTGAGGAGAGGCAGAGGAACATACATGAAGCAGTGTGTGGCGCTGACCACCCAACAAGGAGTGATGAGGCTGCCGCCGCACAGGTAGGTGACCGAGCCTCCCCGGTGCTTCCTGTAGATGGCCGCAAACCAGGGCTGGTTCTCAATGGTTGTGAATTCTCCCCCAACAATCTTAAAGCGGGGCTTCACAGCCTTCTGGCCACACTGAAACTCTGATTTTTCTGGAGGAGAGATGGGACTTTCTCCTAGAGGAGAAAAAGGTGGATGTCTTGAGGCGGCAGGTAGGATGAAGTGTCCTTCTCCTCACCCTCTGACCTCCCAGTTCTTCATGGTCAGGCAGGCCTCCTCATCCCTCCTGTGATGGACTGAGGGACCATATGGAGACACTGTCCCCTTGTCCCTACTGTCATAAGCAGGTCAGTGACACTCACCCAACGAACAGTCATACACCTGGCACTCTTGGACAAGCTGCTTTAGGCCAACCTGCACATAGCACCAAGGCCGCTTCTGATGATCTGGGTTTCTGGCAACACAGAGGGGTGGAGAATGTCATTCCAAGCCAGAATGCCTTTCCTGCTGCCTCCCCTCCAGGCTACACTCAGCCAGAAGCCTTGCTTTTCTCATGCTATGGCAGCGCTCTGGGAGCAGAGGCAGACAGTGACTAGGCTTTTGTGAGGCCTCACCTGCAGTAATTATGTTTCCCCAGGCCCAGCTGAAGGGCGTCTGGTCTGTGAGCATGGTATGTTTTCAGAAGGACGGAGACAGAGTTCCAGGCCAGGCAGGGCCGGCCCCTGGTGTCCATGTTGGCCTTCCCTCGATAAGAGTGACCGTTCCCTTCGTAGCAGGTTTTTGAAGTATCTACAGGAAGATGTGGAGAGAATGTTAGAGGAGGAAGCTCAGATGGACATAGCTGAGATCCTGCCTGGCCTCACATGATTTCAGATCTGGCAGAAGACACTGAGGGTCTCCTTCCATCCCCACCTCACATTTGTGCAACCATTGCTTTATAAGATAGTGTGTCTATGTATGTCTGACTGTGTCCATCAAACAGGGATGAAGATGCCCCACCCCACCCCCAGCTCCTAACTCCTGCCTGCTCTTGCATCCCACCCATTTTCCCTTACCCCCAAACCTCTAGTGCGTTCCCCCACCCCAGCTAGAGTCAGGTTCCTCATACCTATCTCACAGTGTTCCCCATGGAATTTCTTGGGGCAGTTGCATCGCTGAATGTTGGAGAAGTACTTGTAGGACACACATGTCCCTCCATTCAGACAGCCACAGTTCGCTGGAAAGCACAAAGGTGGGGTAAGCAAGGAGCGTGGGAGGCAGCAAGGGGCAAGCCAGTCCTCCAGCAGAGACAGGGAAGGGCTGCCCCCCAAGGCTTTTCCAAAGTGTCAGTGCAGCCAGCTATTGTGCAGGGGGAGATACTCACATGCACCAGACCCTCGAGGTAGTTCTCCGCTGCCCTGGAAGATGCGGAGGGAGGAGAGGGAACGGTCACCCAAGGTCCCAGGCCCGAGACTCCAGAGTGACGATAAACTGGTCCAATCCCAAAACTCACTCTTCCCTCCAGCTCTCTCTCTCCCTACTCTGTCTCTATCTACCTAGCCCTCAAGTGGAAGATCATGGGTTTCCAGCAGGGAGAAATGAATTGACTCAAGCAAGCTTCCCAAGTCAGGTGCCGGCAGGCTAGGGCAGCCTCTGAAGCTTCTTCCTCCCTTGCCCACAAGTGCGAACCCCCCTGGTTCCGTTTCTCTGGGATCCCACCCCCGCCCCACCAGTCCTATTTCCCCGGGACAGGCTGCCCCTGCTGTTGATGTCATTCGGAGAACTCCAGCTCCCTTTGCAGCCCCTGCCTTCGCCTGACGCTGTTCAGGGATCTTGCAAGCCCCCTCCCGCTGCCATAAGTCAAAGCAGGGAGACCACTCACGTCGGAGTCGCGAACAAGCAGGGCGCAGAGCAGCAGGCACGCCAGTGGGACCCTCATGATAGCGAGGCTGGGACTCTAGACAGCGGCTCTGCAAAGGAAGAAGTCAGGGGAAGAAGCGGAGGTGCGAGCTGCGGGCCGGTGGGTTACTGCAGTTTGGAGGAGGGCCGCGGTTACCCGGCTGCCGGGCCTGGGTCTCTTCTGTTTGGGGGCTCCGCGACCGGCACCCGCGGGGGCTCGGGGAGCGCGGGCACTCGGCACACAACAGGGGCAGCCCCGGGAGCAACCCGATGGAGATGGAAGGGCAGCGCGCAGGGGACAGGCCGCCGCGCATCCCCCCGAGCTCTGGGCGCGGCCCGCACTCACCGGCAGCGGCGGCGGCGGCGGGAGGGACGCGGGACTGAGAGCGCTGGGGACAGGGAGATACTCGGCGGGCTCCTGGGCTCCAGTCTCCGCACTGTTCTGCCCACCGCGGCACCAGCTCTATATTAGAATCCGCCCCCGCCCTGGCCCTGGCCCCGCCCCAGCCAGATTGCCGCGTCCACTCCCTTCCCGTCCCTTCCGCCCGGCCCGCGCGGACTTGGACCCCGCGTGCTTCGGCAACCTTGACTGAGGGTGGGGCCAGCAGGGTCTGGCAGGAGGAATCGAGGGGCGTCTAAATTCTCCGCCCCCTCCTCCCATTCACCTGGCCCTGGGCCCCGCCCCAGTGCAGGGAAGCCCGGAATTGCTGGGAACAGAGGACGTTCGGAAGACTCCGTCCGCCGGCTTCTTCCTGGGTCCTCTAAATCTGCGTTTCTCCATCCTCAGCCCCCAACCGCCTAGGACCCTGAGTTTGGTAATGTCTCGAAAGGCAAGGTCGGCAAAGGGGCGGCTTCTGTCCAGAGGTTAGATGGGAAGGCAGAGAGAGTAAGAGCTGGTTGAATGTTCATGGGGAATCAGGGGCGGAGGGGAGGAGTGTGCTGTCGCAGACTGGGGTGACCGGCTGGGGTCTCATAACAATGTATGTTAAAAAAAAAAAAAAAAAGAAAGGAAAAGAAAAGGAAGGAGAAAACGGAATATTGAAAAAGGTTATCAAGACCAGATACAAGGAATAAAGAAGAAGAATGGGTCAGAGATTACTCCAAATCCAATGACTACGCCCATGGTAATCACTGAATAACATGTTACATTGCGTTGAGAGGGAAAGGAGATGAGTTGGGTTTTAAATTCATAGATTATGAGAGGATGAAGCAAAATCCCAATTAAAATATGTCTTAACTAATCAAGGAGGAGGTCCCTAGGTGGCACAATTTGAACCCACCCAGTGGTACTGGAGAAGAAAAGGCCTGGCAATCTGCTTGCATTAAGATTACAGCCAAGAAAACCCTAAGAAGCAGTTCTGTTCTGTAATGCGTGTGGTCGCCATGAGTTGGAGTTAACTCAAGGGCAATTAACATCAAGGAAGTACATGGATCTCAGATGAGAGTCATAAAAATAACTACCTGCAAGAACGTGATACCTGAAGCCACGGTAATGGTCGAGCACTCCAAGGAAGGGGCCTATAGCGAGAGAAGATCGAGGCCAGGGCAAAGCTTTATTGCTATTATTCCTTAAATCCGAGGGCCAGTTATATTCCACATGAAGGTCTGCCCAGTACAGAGAGATTTCACAATAGTAGAGCTGTGTACATAATCCTACCATACTTAATTAAATGATATGATATGTTCTTGTGTGATTAAAAAAAAAAGAAAGAAAGGCAAGGGCGGTTTTATCGAGAATTTCACATTGGTTTAAGACTAGTCTTTGAAAGCAGGAGCTTAATTAGGATTGGATCAGGATCGTGATATAATATTGTAGGATTGGTGGGAACAAAGTCTTAGGGCACAAACTGTTGATGCTTTCCATTGAAGAGTTGACGGGTCTTTTAGAAAGTTCCTATAATGAGCAAGCAACTTATTTGCCTGGGCAGGTGTCCCCTGAAATAGTAAAGTTAGTTAATGAAGACAATGAAATGGTAAATTCTTATTAATGTAGGCAGTAATCTGCCAAGGGGTAAAAAGATTCCTCTCTCACCTCTGAGGTGAGGAACTGTGACCTGGAGGCCAAGGAAGAGAGGAAGATTTACTTTTCGTTGTATGCCCTTTTACACTGTTTAAAATTTTTAAAAACATATCCCTGTATTGCTCATTCCAAAAAGATAATTAAAAACTTTTAAATGTCTGTGTATTTTGTATACTACCTCATCGTAAAGCCTTGTTTTTATTAAGATAAAAAGTATTGGCTTGTGAAATAAAATTGGCTTTCTGAAAAGACAGACCATGTGTAAATGACTCCACTCACCCTTCCTGGGTGTGTGCGGATACACACACATACACAGACATGACTTTAGCACAGCTGGAGAAACAAAGCTTTCCCTAGTGCCAGTGTTAGAAATCAGAGCTTGGGGTCACTGTGATGCCACCCAGCCAGACTGGCTCCCCTATGGGAGGGGAGGGGGCTGTGAACCTGTAACTCACTAGGGGCCCAAGGCTTGGTCCCTTGTCCTGCCTAGGCCTGCAGCATTTTGCTGCCTGGCAAACCTGGGCCTTGGGTCTCAGTCCACTTGAAAGGGGCTAAAGGAGGGTAGGGAGAGCTCCGGGAGGGCAGGAAGGAGGAAGGCCCCTTTGATCCACGCCAGCCAGGGGCCTCAGGGTGCCAGCCTCCGGGTGGGGAAAGTGCAAGTTAACCATCCCACTTGCAGGAGGCAGGTGGTCCCTTACCCTCTGCAGTGAGTGCTTTGTGCCCGCATGAGCTGCCAGTTGTCCAGTGGCTGGACTGAGTCAGAGGTGCTCAGAGGTGGCCTTGCTACTTCCTCCAGAAAACTGTACATGTTTTGTTTGGATTTGAGAATCCAGTCATTGTAAATAAACGTGAGCAAATGTAAACAGAGATGTTGCAGCTTGAGTACTTACCCCGAAACTCCTCAGTTATCAGGAAATTCCCAGAGAGCTGTCGTGATTCATGGAGCTGCTCCGGCAGCTCTCATGACTCTGAATTACTTGGCTGGAGGCTGTCATGCTGAATCTGGAGAGCAGGATGACCTCATTTCCTTCTGGACAAAGAGGCTTGGAGACCGTTATTTAGCATGACATCCCTCTTCCCCCACCTCCCCCTGCTGCCTCTTCACCTGGTTGAATAATCCTAGTGCCTCCAACTCTTTCTGGAACTTGCCTTTCAACTCTCTGACTTTGTGGCTCACTGAAATCTCTGTATCCACCTTTTGCTGCACAGTCTATGGCAGACTTTACTTCTCTGAGGGCTGAGACCACATCTTAAATATCTTTGTCTCTCCCTCAGCACTTGTAATGCCTTGTGTACGGAGTGCTTTACTATGAATGAATCTTGAATGAGTAGGAAACCTCGGAAGCCTTCCTCCTTTTTGTCTTTTTTTCTTGCCATAAAGAATAGCACCTGCATTATTTTCGTCTTGTGCTAAAAAGTACTTTGATGTAAACCATTCCTCTTTCAACCTACAACTACCTTATGATATAGCCCAGGATTGTTATTCCCATTTTGCAGATGAAGAAAACGATGTGAAGAGAAGATACATAATGGATAAGTGGCAGAGCCAGCACTGGAACACAGGTCTTCTGATCCTTGCTCCTGGGCTCTAGAAAGAAAGGGGTACAAGACAGAATTTTGTAGAAAGAAGGGCCAGGTGATATAAGACTTTCCAGCTCAGGGGGGCCCTCCTGCTGGCTCTGGAGACCTCCTTCCAGAAACGTTTCTTAGGCTATGGGCTCTGAGCTCCGGGGAAGCCTTTGCTGTAATATGAGTTGCTTACCTGGACTGCAGGACTATTTTGGTGGTCAAGACTACCTGAAGTTTCTGTGGAGGGTAAGAAAATAGGAACTGAACGTGTGATTTCATTCTGTTCCTGACTCCCAGAGCGAAACCACCAGCCCCTGCCTCTGTGACCTCCTGAGTCATATATGGCAACAGAGACTAATGGAGGGGCCCCCTTTTCCAGGAGTTGCTCATAAAACGGCAAACAGATGCCAGGTGTGCAGAAGGACCAGGGTGTCCAAACTTTGCCCTGAGACTGTGTCCAGGAAACTGGGCCCCTGAAGGACTAGTCTTTCACCAGCAAGAAGCAAAGAGAAGTTCATGCCAAGCCACAGGATATGTTCTTGGATTGCTAAGAATGCTCAGCATGCCATTGTAATTTGCATTTCTAACAAGTTTCCAGGTGAATGCTGATGCTGCTAGTTAGGGACCAATTCTGAGAACCACTAGTAGAGCAGTGGTTCTCAAAATTTATTGTACATAAGAATCACCTGAGGATCTTGTTAAAACGTAGGTTTTGATTCAGTATGTCTGGAGTGGAAATGCAAATTCTCAGCAGGGGTTCAAACAGGAACAAACAGGTTCGAAGCCCTGGCTACATCCAAATTGTATGACCTTAGGCAAGTCACTTAACTCTCTTGATCTCAGTTCCTCCATCTGCAAAATGAGGCAATGCTCACCCTGCCTGTGTCTGACTTTGCAGACTGAATGAGATCATTCTTGTATGTGGACAGCATTCCTTAATTCATTCATTCAGTATTTATCATGGGCCTAAAACACATGAGGTTGCCATGAGTCGGAATCAACTAGACAGCAACAGATTTGGTTTTTGGTTTACTATGTGCCAAAGTTCCCCGTGTGGCACAAACAGTTTGCGCTCAACTACTAACCTAAAGATTGTCAGTTCAAACCCACCCAGCAATGCTTGGAAAAAAGGCCTGGCAATCACTTACATAAAAATTACAGCCAAGAAAACCCTATGGAGCAGTTCTACTTTGTAACACATGGGGTTGCCATGAGTAGGAATCGGGTTTACTATGTGCCAGGCACATTTCTAGAGATGGAAGGATGAACTTTGTAAACTATAAATCCCACCCCTAGTGCCTGCCTTCCCTTCCTGACTGTGGCTGTATTGACCCAAAAGACCAAGTCATTCCAGAATGCATCCC